AAAAAAAAAAACACAATGGGCCGAAAAAACACATCTTGGGCTGCGAATATACAAGCAAAATAGGCTGCTGGTTTACTAGGATTTGAGCTGCGGGTTTTCAAACTATAAAAGAAGGGGAAATTTTTATCTACACTTACCGTTTTTTAATTAATTGCAACATTAACACTCAAACAAATATATTTGTGGATATACCTAAGAGATAAAAAGTAATTATATACATGCCAAAAACAGTTACGGGAAAGATGAACAACGATTCCTTATTTGTAGGGAAAGATATTATATTTCAGGATTTCAATATCGAAAAGATATTATATTTCAAATGAATGCATAATCATCGTTGAAACAGGCGAAAAAGAGAAGGGAAACACGTCGGCGACGAGATTTTTCTGAAACACGAGCTTCGTTAACAGAAAAAAAAAAAAATTAAATGCGTGGCGGCGATCGGATTTTTCGTGGGACCTCATCACGCAACAACACACTGAAGAACGAGATAAAAAGTAGTATACTGGACAAATATTTGGAGTATATTTTCGTGAAATTTGGATGTATATTTTTGTGAATTCCTAAAAGATGTTATTTTTTTCCTACCAATGGTATATCTATGTTCTCGTGTCCACGTTTTTTTTTTCAGATGGATCTGAATATGATGATCTTCATACATCATGGGTCGTGAATGATTACGTGAATTACCAACTTTTTGGTGTTGTGGTTCGAAAAGAAGGTAGCTACAACGAATTATGCGGTATATTGTGTGAGGAGCTCGGGTTGATACGTCAATCAACTGTTCTTGAACTAAAATATAAGTTGAAGGAAGGGAGTCCACTAATGTCGATAAACAGCGATAGCAGCCTTAGCTTCTATGTGGTTTTGGTGTCCAAAGAAGTTGACTACACGAAATATCTGGTGTGCGTTGTGGTGAAAAAAATCAGATTAGTGTTGAAATTCGTTTGAATGAAGAAGTGAATATAGTTTCATTGAATTGCGAATCAAACATTGCTCCACTTTGTTATCCAGAACTTGACAGATATCCTGATAAATCAGATGGCACGATAAATTTCATGTCGTTCGCGAGGAACGTGGCTGAAGAGGATGGTAGAAGTGGCAGCATATACCAAAAATATATTGGACATATACTCTGGAACTGAGATGCGGTTGACAGGCGAGCAAAATTTTGACTCTGGTATTATTGCTGTTATTTTACGAAAGTATAAGGAAACGTTACGGAAGATGCTGATCATTCATGCTATAAAGAATCAGTATCAATTCAAGGTTGACAAGTCATACTCCAAAAAATATTATGTCAAGTGTGTCGCGAGCGATTAGTATTTTGGTATATCTAAGTTATATTCTATTATATCTAACTTATATTGGTATATCTAAGTTATTTTCTATTATATATAACTTAGATTCTGTTTTATCTCACACTTTTAATATTATGTCAGGTGTGTCTCGAGAGATTGTACATGGTTTGTGAAAGCTTCACGTATGGGTCGGTCAAACACTTTTAAGCTAAGAGACGTAGGGATTGAACATATATGTGCTTTGGATATGCGTACTACTAATCAGAGACAGGCGACATCAACACTTTTTAGTAGTTACATCAAGACAAAATTCACTATAAATAAAACTGCATATAATCTGGGTGATATCATTGACGACATGCAAAATTGGTTTGGGATAAACTTGACATATCATAAAGCATAGAGGTCGAAACGCAAAGTTGTTGATGAAGTTCGTGGCAAGGTTGATGAGTTATACGATTATGCTCATCAATATCTTAGTAAGGTACGCGCATAAAACCCGGGTAGCATTGTGCTGATGCGCACCACAAGGGATAAGAATTTCATGTACGTTTTCATGGCACTCGGTGCATCTGTAAAAGGATGGTTACATTGTCGGCCAATTGTTATTGTTGATGGGACATTTTTGTCGTCGGTGTATGGAGGAATTCTATTGACAACCTCTTGTCAAGATGCAAATTGTCATATATTACCGTTTGCATTTAGCGTTGTTGACACCGAAAATAACAACTCCTATGTCTGGTTTTTCACCAAACTGCAAGAAGTAGTTCGTGATAGAAAAGGTGGTAGTAGTATACTTTTAGTAACAGTTGGGTATTGTTTTTTTTTTTTTTTTTTTTNTTTTTTTGTGACATATAATTACAGTTGGGTAGTATATTTTTAGTAAAAGTTGAGTATATCTTTTCCAAGTTATGTTTTCCCACAGAAATATAATATCTTCCTAGCAATTAGTATATTTTTAGTAACTGTTGGGTATTGTTTTCTATGACATATAATATTTTCTAGAGCGGTATTTATTTCTTTATTTATTGAAATATAATATCTTCTCCAGCAAGTAGTATATGTTCAGTAATATTTAGGGATTTTTTTTCTATGTAATATAATTTCTCTTTAAATATTCGTAATCTGAAAAGGATTTTATTAGTTCCTTTGCATATATCTGAAATGTTATAATTAATTCCTATAGGTATTCCCCAATGCGGGGCATTGTCTTTACACCTATCACATCTCAAAAAAATTGAAGATGCGTTATAAAACAGAAGCACAGGCAGTAAAGGAGGAGTTTTATGCAGCAGCGAGGGCCCATACAGTAGAGGAGTTCGATAAGCATATAACACATACAAATAAGTTGAATCAACATGTGGTACCATATGTAGAAGAAATTGGATTTCAAAAGTGGGCATGGGTTCACTGTCCCAATAATAGATATTTTACTATGACATCTAACTCTGCTGAGTCAATAAATGCTGCCATACGATCCGTCCATGATCTACCGATAACACCACTACTAGAGGCGCTTAGAGATATGCAACAAAGGTGGAATGTGGAAAACAAAGATGAAACGAAGGACACTTTTACTCCTCTTGCAAAGAAGCCACATAGGTGGTTGGAAACGAATTACCAAATGGCAGCAAGATATTCAGTGAGTTGTTATTTATATTTCTCAATTTATTAATGAATTATAATCGGTTATATACTATACATATACTGACAAGTGTACCGATTATATATTATGCATATACTAATATGTACAACATATACACATGTTGTAATCCACCTGGTATGACTGATTATATACTATAAATATAATATTCTGCAACACGGCTGCACATATTACATCTGTATTGTTTGTGGGATTCTTTTTATTTTTTTTTATTTTTTTTTTGTGCTATTATATAATATTCATGCATATACCGGAAATATACTATATATATACTAATATGTGTAACACGTACAGAAAGCCAGTGACAAAGTATATAAAGAGATGTCTGATGGTAAGGCATTTATAGACATTCAATCCAAGACTTGCTCATGCCACCACTTTCAAGTTGATGAGTTGCCATGCCCGCATGCTATACGTGTGATAGAGTCACTCCACCTGGATCCGGTCCCATTCTGTTCTGATAACTACTTAACCACTTCTATGTTGGCAACTTATGAAGAAGTTGTAATACCAATAGAAGGTAATCAAGCCTTCAAATTTGATGCACCGTCTATCCCAAGATTGGTAAATCCCCCAGATGGAAGATTGAGGCCAGGGAGACCACGCAAACAACGATTGAAGTCGGGATGGGAGCATAGATTAAAAAATAGATTCAACAAATGTCATGAGAAAGGGCACAATGTAAAAACTTGTCGTAGCACTGCCATGTACATTATGAATGGGTTTTAAGTTGATTGTTGCTTCATATTATTACTTGTTATTTATTATTGTAGTTATTTCATGTTTGTAAAAGCAACCTGAACATTGGATATACCGCTCATATAAGTGTGAAAAACAAACTCAACATTGCATATACTACGCATATACAGAACATATACGAAGGATAAAAATGTATTACAAAGGATATACCACACATGTACCAAACATATACCATACATATGCCAAACATATACCAAAACATATAGGTAACTTAAATATACCACGCATATACATAACATATACGAAGAATAAAAAATGTATTACAAAGGATATACCACACATGTACCAAACATATACCACACATATGCCAAATATATACCAAAACATGTGCCAAACATATACCACACATATGCCAAACATAATAAATAGAAGGAAAAAGAAAAAATATTACACAATTAATCCGTCCATCAGAATATACCAAAAAATACCATAAAGTACAACTAAAATACTACAAATATAACAGAATATAAGTTAGATATACCATAATACAAGTTCAATGTTTTCCCAAATTCAATCACATCCATCAGAAAAATCAATCATCATAAATACTTAAAAAAAATGTCTATGATGTTTTTCCCACATTCAAAAGACTAAACCTAACTTCATCGGGGGCACTACCAGGGAATTCATCATCACTGTCGTATCCATTAGTTTGTTTCATTCGGCCATGAGTATAGAGCAAATATGTGTATCTCTCCCTAAAACTCCTTGGTGGTAACGAAATGAAATGTTTGGCATATGATGCAACGAATACCACACAATCACTGTTGACAATATAAAAATATAAACAGTAAGAATTAACAATAATAATTATAATAATTATAATAATAATAATAATAATAATAATAATAATAATAATAATTATAATAATAATAATAGTAATAGTGATAGTGATAGTATATAGTAAAGCATGTTAATGGGAATTTCAACTTTCAAATTCCTATATGGTACCTGTTGTGCTACTGTGGGAGATTTTCAACCTTAACCACCTCAATATTATCGTTGCAGGCCACTCCATTCCTCGAAAAATTCATCGAACCAAGGAAAATGGGGAGAATCTCGACATAAGCCTTCACATTCTCCATAACAAGGTCATCGCAATCTTCTGTGCAAATTGAATTGTAGATATGAAGTTTTATGTCATCAAGAGATAATCGTCCCAAAATCCAATGACCCACACTGTTTATTTCCAAATGCATCGGGAACATGACATGATCAACCTTGGACCAAGAAACACCACATATAATCTTATATCCCAGTATGTAGTCAATGATCATATCGTCGACATTTCATACAGAATTGTTACGAGACTGAGACACAAACAATCTGTACAACGACTTAATGTGTTGGTCAAACAACACATCAGTCGTTGTATACGTGACTGGGGCAGATTTAGCATAAAATCCGATCTTCCTCAGGTAGTAGAAAAAGACATCCATGTGCTGAAGAAAAATATATAAAACAAATGTCACGCGTAAGCAACAAATAGTGATAAACTTATATAAATTTTTTATATTATAATATAACAACAAGCAAACGTGCTCAATTGAATTATAACAACCTATCTCGTATATATGGTAAAACCAGTTCTTGTCCGTCACCGAAACAACGTTAAATTCAAAAGGAGTTGGCAAAGTTTTGCTCCTGACCTTTTAATAAATATAACTGCAAAAACAAAATGAAAATTTGTAAGTTAAATGTATGATATATTTACGGTATATGACATTAATATTTTTCGTTACTTTTTAGTATATTTGATGTATATTAAACTTATTATATATCTAGTAAAAAAATCAGTAGTACCCGTTTCTGACTTTGCGAGGAGCCGACTTGAGCAAACCCTCTGCAATCCAGTCTTTGAATTCTTTCATGTCCACTTCCCTAGAAACATTTATGCCAAAACCAACGTCAAATGGGCAAGACTTCTGAAATCTTATTCGTTTCTTGGTGGAACTTTCGCTCTCCAATTTTCTCTTAGGCTTCTTGGTTCGCCTCACTTCATCTTTCTTTGGACTGTATACAACTAAAGAATGGCACTCTTGTTCCTTGGTTAGTTGTGGGTTCTCTCCTTTTACCGCCTCATTCTTCTCGATAGTCTGAAATTTAGTGATAAAAATTGTATTAAAAAATTAAATTATTATTAAACAAAAAACTGATTGAAGGTATTACAAATAATACAAATGAAGTGATTAAACTTACATTATTGACCGGATCTGGAATATCATTCTTTAATGGTGGCGTAGGTGGTAGAGCAACAATTATGGAATTAAACGACGGCTGAGATCCATTCACTGCATGACCGAATTTGCGGTGTGGCTCGTAACTGAAACCTCTCTGCATATATGTATATCATATAACCAAGAAATTGAATTAATTCGAATATATATAAATCTCACATTTGTAATACTGTATTTATATATATAACTAACATATATACTTGAATACAATAGATGTAGTTACTGGTTCTTTGCCCTTTGGTACTTCATTTAATTTTTCTTGGACAATCCTTTCAATCTCCTCTATGAATTGGGTGCTGATCAAGGGAAAAGTGTCATCTTCGTCGATAGGGCTCTTGGGTAGATGAATATCAGGGTTGGGTGGTTGGATATCAGGTGATGGGTCTCCTCCTAGATCTGGAGTGAACCGGTGGAAATGAGCTCCGGTCTGTTCGAATCGTCTCCAAGTCGCCCATGGACCGCTGTGAACACCTGCAAGAACTCAACACCGGAAGTGTCTTCCGGTGAAGAGCCTCCGACGCTCAAGTCAGTGAGAGAGAAGAGGAGAAGCTCTGCTCAGTAGGAGCAGCCGCTGAATAATGAATGAGGAGAATAATGGTTAGGGTTTGGAGTCACCTCTACTCCTCTATATAGGGGTAGAAATGCTCACTAGAAATACCTGAAATGCCCTGGCCGACTTGCCTGAAGTGTCCAAAATGCCCTGGTCGGTTCACATTCTGCCCACTCTCTGAGTCAACACCTAGATTCCTTCTCATCTCATACAGATTCTCTAGCTCAGGAAGCCTTGCTATGATATGGGGATAAATGCGAGTCGTTAGAGGTACTCTAAGTCGAATTGGAGCTTTGTCGAGCCGACTTATGGTACTGTTAGTATATCCGAGGCTCTCTGAATGTTTATTTGCCTTCTAGCGCGTAAGTCGACTTATACCAAGTCTACTTTCTAAAGTCGTCTCTTGATCGTCCCTAAGCCAGTGGTGATCTTCTTTATGACTGACAAGTCATGTCGACTTTGGGAGGTATCGTCTTGACGATATCCTTGGCAGCGTCTGTCAAGTCGAGTAACTAACGCCTGAACCAGGCTATGATAATAGGGCTATATCATCTAGTCCCCCCCAAAATATTACTCTAAGCGACTTTTGAGCTTAAGAGTAAATTTAGTAATTAGGCCTTCTTTTTCTTTTGTTGACGAGTCGTCTAATCTTTATTCTCAAATCGTCTTGTCGACGATTCACGCGATTCGACTAGGGCGCTTGTGGTTCAACTTCATTACTCAAAAACTTTTTCTGAGCGTATCCATTATCATTATTTCAAATTTCGAACTTTTGAATTGGGGCCTGACACGCCGCCTCATCTTTTCCCTTTGCCGCTTCGAATTCTGCGCCACATCTGAGTCGTTGATATTTACTCCAATCCAACAGTCAGGGTTCTGGATTTTCTCCTATAAGTATCTTCTTCTTCCTTCCCCCCACACTTTTCGCACTCAAGGATTCTCGAGCTTTCCCTTTTCTCCGGCAATAAAGCATCCAGCGATTTCGGCGTGCACCTCCTTCCGACTACTTCTCCGGCGCCTTCGGAACTTCTTTGATATTTCAAATCCCCATCAGTTGATCTCCAAATATTATATGTATGGTTCCCCTTTTCTGTGGGAGCTCCTCTTTCTCTGGCGTTCTCGCCCTCTCACGAGGGCTCCTGCTCCTTTCCCTTCTTCTGTTTGACTTTTCTCGATCCTTATATATGAATTCCTTCAAGTTTCCTGCCTTAATCAGTCTTTCGATTTTCTCTTTAAGGTGCCTGCAGTCGTCAGTATTGTGACCATAGTCTTTGTGTAATCGACAATATAGGTTACTCTTCGGTCTCGTTGGTCCATCCTTTCTCGTCTTGGGCCATCTGACAACATTGTCATGAATTTCTTTTTCCATTACTTCCAGAATTCGCGCTTGAGGGGCCGACAAATGGGTGTATTGATTCGGCCTCCAACCCCTAGGTCGCC